GATAACAAAGGAAGGGGAGGGGGGGAGGGAAATTAAAAAAAAAGCTCACTCACTCATCCAAAGTGTGGGTTAGAAGAGTTTGCACTCCCCCACACGCCAACACCCCGGAGGAGAGTTTCGAGAAGAAGCGCTGTGGAACGCCTCGAACATACCAATCCGATGCACATAATCCTCAATTCCTGTTGGTAAATCGACATTAACCACGACATCCAAGTCCTTAATATCCAGCCCTCGCGCCGCGACGTCCGTCGCGACCAGGACTGCCGTCTCGTCGGAGCGAAACCGCTGGAGGACGTAATCCCGGCTGGACTGTTCTTTATCCCCGTGGATCACCAGCACGGTGCGGCGCATGGCGTGTTTGAGCCTGGCGTAGAGCGCGTCGGCGGTGCGTTTGGTCTTGACGAAAACCAGCACCCGCTGCGGGCCGACCTGCGCGAGGACCTCCACCAGCCGCTGCTCCTTGTGGGCGGGCTCCACCAACATCACGTGCTGCCGGACGTCCTTGTTCGCCGCGAGCTCCTCGGAGCCGACGTGGACGCGGATGAAATCGCGCTGGAAGGTCGCCGCGAGGTTGCGAATCTCGACCGGCCAGGTCGCGGAGAACATCACGGTCTGGCGGTCGCCGCGGATCTGCGAGCAGATCTTGCGGACCTGGTCCTCGAAGCCCATGTCGAGCATGCGATCCGCCTCGTCCAGGACGAGGTAAGTCACCCGCAGGAGGTTCGTCGCGCGCATCTCGAGCATGTCGATCAGCCGGCCAGGGGTCGCGATGGCGACGTGGACGCCCGCCCGCAGCGCGTGCAGCTGCGGGCCCTTCGCGGCCCCGCCGTACACGCAGGTCGAGAGCAGACTCGGGACCCGGGCCAGCGCCTTCTGGCTCTCCCGCTCGATCTGCATCGCGAGCTCGCGGGTCGGGGCCAGGACCAGGGCGATCGGGCCGTCCCCGGGGTGCAGGGGGGGCTGGGCCATGATGTGCAGGGCCGCGGGGATCATGAAGGCCAGCGTCTTGCCCGACCCCGTCCGCGCCACCCCGACGATGTCCCGCGAGTTCAGCAGGATCGGCCACGCCATCGACTGGATCGGCGTCGGCGCGGCGAAGCCGGCGTCGTGGAAGCCCTGGTGGATCGCGTCCGGCGCGACCAGGTCCGAAAACCCCAGCATCGGCTGCGGGACGCGCTCGCCGTAGAGGCTGATGTGGTGGGTCCGCAGCCACGCCGCGATCTCGGCCTCGCCGCGCTGGGGCTGGGGGCGGTAGAAGTTCCACTGCGAGGCCACCTGCTGGACCGCGCCCCAGTCGATCGCGTGCAAATTCGCGCCGAGCCCGCCCATCCGGTCGCCGCGGGGGGGAGGGGGCGTCGCCGTTCCGCCGCGAGTGGCCCTCACGCCCGCGGTAGGCCCCG